CTGAAAAATTTCCCATCTATCCTGTACTTGATGCCGATGCCATATGGCAGTCAGGGATAACCATCTTGATCGCAAAAAAGATGGAAAACAGAATTGATGCGATCATGCAGCCCTGCTTGACGCTGTTTTGAATGGCAAAGGGTTTGATAGCTGAGCCACTGCATAGGATGGAGGCAGTCATCTGGTCTTACATTTTACATAAGGCGGCTGTTGCACATCGGCAACTACACAGATCTTGGCAGAGGAGAAACTTGTGTCCAGTGGCAAGCAGATCCAAGACAACAGGGATTACTCTTCCACTGCAGCTTTCTTCTGCCTTCACCGCCATCGAGAAGTATGCCTTCTGCATCTACCCTGCTACACCGTTGAGGTCTTTGTGTCATACTGAACTGCTTTTCATCTGATACCTCAACTTTGACCATACCACCATGAGTGAACCTACCAGGAGTACAAGACTCCACACGGTGTTACTCTTAGGGTCACTGGTACAAGCAAGCTCTCCACCGCATCAAGGTGGCAGTCCATGGTGAGGACTATACACACCTCTACTGATACACCCTAGGGCAGGGGTGGGCAAAATGCAGCCCGCGGGCCAGATGCTGCCTGCTAGGCCATTCTATCCAGCCCGCGGGGCCCCTAAAAATTTAGAAAATTAATATTTATCTGCCCCTGGCTGCTTGTCATGCAGCCCTTGATGGCTTGCCAAAACTCAGTAAGTGGCCCTCTGCCCAAAATAATTGCCCACCCCTGCCCTAGAGGCACACCCAAACAAGCATGCATTTGCAGAGGTGCGTGTTTGCTACAGTAAAAATAGCAGCAGCACAAATTGGTGCTGCTGCTTGTTGCCACTGCACAAGCCTCTACACATGGGGTTTGGTACGTGGCAAAATGCCCTACCAAGGCATGCTGGAGGGACAACTAGAGGTGGGGGAGATGCTCTGGCCAGCAACCAAAGCATCTTCCTGGAGGACCCAGCCTCCGCGCTTGCCAGTGCATACTTCTGGAGCATGCACCATGCTGCTTTTCTTTCTCATTTTTTTTTTTTGCTTCAGCTTTTTTTGGTACTGGAATCTCGCAGTATCAAACTTTGGCTCCTCATAGCCATCCTATGACTAATATACATATATATCTTTTTTTGGTCATTTCCAACTAGTAAACCCAAAAGGTATAGTACAAATTATTTCTTTCTAAGCATGGCAACTTCCATTTTGTGCTATTTAATTTCAGCTGATTTCTATTATTCAAGTCTGCTAGATCATCCAGTTCTTCCTGTGTGATATACTGAGTCTCCTTTGTATTGACAACGCCTTCCTAGTTTGTGTCGTCCGCAAATTTCATTTGTACACTTCTACTTTTTGGATCAGCCACATTAATTACAATATTAAATAAGAGTAGTTCTAATATAAATCTTTGAAGACCTTCACAAGTAACTTATCTCTAGCCCAGTTATTCCCTTTTCAGCAAAATCCATTGTTGTGTCCCCTTCAGCCAATTCCTTACCACTTTAAAAATCTTGTATTAATACACATCTTCTCTAGTTTAATTAATCATTTCCCTTGTGGCACTGTACCAGTGCTTCTCCTAAATTCAAGTGGATTAGATTTACTGCATTTCATTTGTCAAAAGAATTAGTTGTCAGACAAAGACATCGGGATCATCTGGCACAATCTACCTTTAGTAAAACTATGTTGCACTTTTCTATTTTCAATGTCTTTAATTATTCTTCCTGTCAAAGCTTTAGTATGTTACTGAGGTCAGATTATCATAGCTGCGCAGCTCACTTCTGGTTTTAGGATCTCTCTTACATTATTAGGGAGAGAATAGATGCTAGGAATTGTACAGGTAAACTTTAACTTCCGAGACACAGATTGGAGAACAAATCAACTAATAATGAAACAGCAGTTATTTCTATACTAAATTGTGCCTTTGGTGCAGTGACCCCTACATGCTGTTCTGGCAGCTGGAAACTGGAATGTCATAGGAATGTTCAAGCCATATTACTCTGCTGACTCCGATGTGCTTTGAGGACACCTCCTGTGCCAGAGGCTCCAGTGGGGGAAATCAGCTACGCACCTGCCAGGGACTCTACCTACATCAGAGTCACTACAGCAGAGGAATGTCCTGGAGCACTTCCTGGCTTTTTTTGGACTTTTCACCACAGCTAATAACAATGGGGTGGGGAAATAAAGAAACGGGAGAAATAACATCAGTGGGAGCAATATATACAAAATTCATCATATGAAAGTCATGACATTAATACTGCTTCCCTATTTTAACTAATCCTGCAGCTAACATTATGGTATCTTTTAGTATTAGACTATGCTTTAAAACTCCATGCACTGTCTAGTCACAATGGTAGAAGGGGAAAGGGCGTTAACTCATTTCAACCCTTTATAGCTGTGTTTCTCAGCCCATGGGTCATGACCCAAATGTGCGTCTCAAGAATGTATGAAAGGGTTGCGAACAAACTTTAAAAATGGATTTTCTTTTAAAGGAGAAAAACATGTGAAACCACAGCTTTTCCCTTGCCGGCTGTCAGAAATTCAGCCTGCAAGGGGCTGCTTGGGGCCCCCCATAGCCCACACATCCACCCCCTTGTCCACACACTGGGGGGCTTGAGCCTGGGGCATGGGGGTCAGGAGTGAGGGGCACAGTGTTGGGACTGGCCATCGATGTTTACAAATGGGTCCTGGTACAAAAAAGGTGGAGAACCATTGCTTTATAGGACTGAGCTTTATTTCCTATCTAATTTAATTTTACATGTGACAACCAATATGACCAACAGAGGACAGCAAATACATTTTATAATGATCAGAAGATTCTGAACTTCAGCTTGTCATCCTCATTCCACGGAGGGTATTAATTCGAGTGGCAAAAGTATGTTGCAAAAATTACTGCCAGCTCAGAAATGCCTTTTGTAATTATCTAAAGTGTTGTTTTAAATTCCAGAAAGATTATTTAGAAAGTGTTCTTTTAATCCACTTCTAAACAGGTATAATTACTAATGAAAATGTGTAAATGTTCAACAGTTAGCTCTATTTTTATGCCATTGCTTTTTCAGTAAAGAGGTAACTGGTAAATGTTAGAGGACAGTTAAGGGATACTTTAGAGAAACTTTGTGCATACTACTATGCGTCTTTCAGTACTTCAGTGATTAATAGCAATATTTTATAAACTACTAAAAACAAAGTGAGAGCATGGAGCCAGACACCAGCATCTTCATTGTACTTGATGCTGAGAAGATGGTGACGGGAAGGTTTTTAAAAATTGTATTGAAAATGTGAAGAATGAAAGCAAGAATTTCACCTACTCAATAGGAGGTTTATTATGAAAATCCAATTAACCAACAAAAGTTAAACATGTTTAAATCCTTTTGCCAAAACCTATTCATGATGGTTTCTACAGTAGTCATTGCTTTTCCTGGATAGTTTTTCTACATTAGGAATCCATTGCTATCAATAATAATAGCACTTCCACATCTATAGTTCCTTCTGGGAATCTTAGAATCCTTTACAAACATTAAGTCATGCAACATTTCGACACTTCTATGAGTTAAATAAAGTATTTTTAGTGCTTCATTGGGACTATTCAGATGAGTTCAGAAATGCTGAATGACTGGGTTGGAACACATCGGATAGATGTATGTAAAGCATATACGAGGTAAATATAAAGATTTATGAGAAAAAACAATAATAATTGACTCTATGTCACAGGAGTGTTGTTCATATTGCTTTACACAGGGCATTTATGACCTATTTTGTGAGTTGCTAAGCACCTTCAACTTCTGCTGAAGTCTTTGGCAAGCGACAGTGACAGCCTTTCACAGGATTGAGGCCCTAAATAGAGGCTGATCATGCACATTCCTATCCACCTGAGCAATAACAATTACAATAGCAATTTTGCATACATTTATCAGCAGTTGAAACGTGACCAAAGTTTGCAAGATGCATTAATGCAACTGAAGTTTGCAAGATGGCACCCACAGATCATATAGAAAATATTGCGTAAACATTTGCTAAGCTTAGAATACCCCTGTGATGTAGGCAAGCATTATTATCACTCTGCGTGTGTGTGTAATTTGTGTATTCCTCGTATTTGCTTTGTGCATGTGTCTGCTGGGAGGACAGACGGGGAAAAAGTAAACACAGGAGGCAGACATCTATAAACATTAGTAGAAAATGAAGAAAGGAGGTTACTGATTAGCTCTCCTCCATATGACACTCCTAGATCTTATCTGAGCAATGTGAGTTAAGTGCTTTGCCATTCTTCTTTTTTTAACTATTATCTGATCAGAGAGGCATGAAAAGCACTTTATTGCTCACTTGATTTTTTTTCTATGCTAGGAGCCCTCTGCAGGAAGTGAGGCTGAATTTCACAAGTCTTCCCTTTCTGACGTCTCCTGAATTTCTAGGAATGCCCCTTCCCTGTTACTATATTTGGAGGTAGTTTCTAGGGGGAAAAAGCCTTTTGAGAGGCTCCTGGGCTGAGCCCCCGGCCTGTGCAAGGACCCGCGCCCCCGCGGTCCCGGCCGCGGAGCCCGGCGGAGTTGCGAAGCCCGGTGCCGGCGATCCCAACTCCAGGCAGCGCTGCCTCTTTGTAACAATGTTGCAGAAATGAGCATGGAGGGGGAGAGGTGTCTGTGGCAACAATGCGTGGATCTTCTGTAGTTATCTCCGGGCGGCTGATTTGACTCCGGCACTTTTCTTTTTCTGTTTCAACGGAAGAGGATTTTTTTTTTATTTTTATTTTTTATTTATTTATTTATTTATTTTGCTTTTAATCTTTATGGATTTTT